TAAAAGCTGCTGTAAGCGCTGCATTAAAACGAGTGCAATAAGTTTCTAATTTGACCTAGGCTTCATGACATTTCAAAAAGTATCATCAAGAAAAAAATTATCAGACAGAAATATGTATGTCGTGTTAAAATCGGAGAGACGAAGAAAAATATATGGTTGCGTTCTCACGAGAATGGGCGATGGAGGGGCCCATTCTTTATTTTCAATATTCATACAAGAATATAAATTCATTCTGTTGCAATTGAAATAAATGTGCAATGTATCGTTAAAAGTTATTACAATTATACAAACATTTACATATATGATTAAATAAAATATATATGTATACTATAATATAATTATATATTTTATATATGTACATATATACCATATATTTCAATTATTTTGAACTGTATTGCATAAATTGTTACTTATACAAAGTTATGTGATAAGAATCGAAAATACATATATTTGTAATACTTGAATTACTAAAAAGCTGCTCTATATATCTGTACTTTAAAAGTAAGTGATATCCTAAAAAAATCATAAAAATGAAAAGGTCAGGCCATGTTCAAAAGAAGGCACTCAAAATTTAAACGATCTAATAATAAATTATCACGAAAAGTAACTGATATGTTATTCAAGGTGCCAGTTCAAAGTGAACATACGTAAAGTGTATATTATCTAAATTTAGTAATAATATATTACCATGAAAAATAACTGTGATATTTTATTCAAGGTGCAAGTTCACATTGAACATACATACATATAAGTAAAACTGATTACATTTTGATTCTAGAAAATAAGTGCGATATGTTATTCTTAGTGCACAAAATATAATAGTCGTTTATAGAGATTTGATTTGAAATTTATACTAGCCCGTACAATGAAAAATAATTGCTCGTAATTCCAGAGTACCAATTTGTTAATTACTCAGAAAAATAACATGGCGGCCTGCTCTCAAAAAACTATGATGTTTCTCGATGTCCATTTAGAAATAATGTCGAAGCTCTTACAGAATAATTACTACAACATTTGAAGTACGAAAAATATTACATTAGAAGAAGATTAGATTAGAATAAGGATTCAACGTATTTTTAAAAGCTCTACACACAACGAAGTGAATATACAAAACTATATACAAATACCTTTTTCTTCTGTGTTTCTGAAGAAAATCTTTTAAATAGAAAATAGTGTCTTGCGATCATGAAGAATAGGTTTTAAATAGCAAGGTTTCATTTGACTTATAATTTTCGATATTATTCACTTAATTAATATGTAATTTTTTATTGTATATTACGACAAATAATCAGTAAACTTTTTAAGCGTATAGCTTTATTGTACTTGACCTGAGAACTGTACATTTATAAATTTTACTTAATATACACCCGTTTCGAGCAACAAGGCAAAGTTTTCTGATCAATAACTTACTCCCTGAATATACGGTATAACACAAATCGGAAGTTGATACGAAAATTCGAAATTTTACTAAAGAAAGATTGGAGGTTTTTAATTTATACAATTTTCACAACTCTTATTTCAATTATTTATTCTACCCATCGAAAGTTTTTTGAGAGCAGGCCGCCATGTTATTTTTCTGAGTAATTAACAAATTGGTACTCTGGAATTACGAGCAATTATTTTTGATTGTACGGGCTAGTATGAATTTCAAATCAAATCTCTATAAACGACTATTATATTTTGTGCACTAAGAATAACATATCGCACTTATTTTCTAGAATCAAATTGTAATCAGTTTTACTTATATGTATGTATGTTCAATGTGAACTTGCACCTTGAATAAAATATCACAGTTATTTTTCATGGTAATATATTATTACTAAATTTAGATAATATACACTTTACGTATGTTCACTTTGAACTGGCACCTTGAATAACATATCAGTTACTTTTCGTGATAATTTATTATTAGATCGTTTAAATTTTTGAGTGCCTTCTTTTGAACATGGCCTGACCTTTTCATTTTTATGATTTTTTTAGGATTATATATATATATATATATATATATATATATAATTGTGTATATATATATTTAATGTTCTTTTATAAAATTTTCAAATAATAGGAATGATTTTTGATACTAATTAATGTTTTATACTAGTTTGCTTAGCATGCATTTATTACTTACACTTTTTATAACTGAAATATATTTATAATATTTATGTGTGTGCGTGTTTGTGTAACTAACAAATCTCACATGCAAATATATATATAAGGTATATGATGTAATTATACACATATATTTATATTTTATTTAGATCTGTACAAACAATACATTTTTTCATATTAAGTTGCAGATATCATGTATGTACACTCTGTATATATATCAGGAGACGCGGTAGTGTCTCCGGCCATGTTCAAACCCTAAAAGACCTTAAAAGACACTACAAGTCTCATATCCTGCACCATCAAAGTCCATTTTTTGAGGGTGTAGAACTACTAAAATATAAAAAATTTTGAATTGCACGTAATATAATCTGAAAGGCGGCATCGCCACGAGTAATTTGAGCCAAGAAGAAATAAAATCGGTCAAGCCGTTCTGGAGATACAAGCGGTCAAAAAGTGACGTTTTTCATGAAAAATTAAGAAACGTTTCCTTCTTCTCTGTCCGCGTCCGCTGACGTCATCAGGATTATATATATATATATAAATCTCTTCTCACCTTTCACTCACACCTCCCTCAACTTCCACACACCCCTTTCCCACCCACAAGCCCTCCACCTCCCCCACCCCCACCCCCCTCCACCATCCCTCTTTCGCCCTAACTCATCCTCTTTCGTCCTCTTTTACCCTCTTTCATTCCCTCTTTCATCCTCTTTCGCCCTCTTTCACCCTCTTTCGTCCTCTTTCGTCCTCTTTCACCAATCAACCAACCTCTTAATTCCCTTGAATTCACGACTCCTGAACTATCGAGTTCAATTGATTCTTTAATAGAAGAAGCACTTAATTATTTCGATCTCAGAACTAGCTTCCCAGAGTTATCACCAATCTCAGACAAAGAAATTTCCCCTGATTCCAGAATAGAATCCTTGCCAGACGAACCATCTAATAAATCTAGTTCGGAAACCGATTCTTCAGAGCAGTTATTAATCACAGAATTACACGAATTAGTATCGCAAGTAGAAAGAAACAATTTACCGGAACAATTTTATCCTACTGACGAAGTACAAACAATAAAAGACCAATTCTCAGAACAATTACTAATTGCAGAACTTTGTGATTTAGTATCACAAATAGAAGAAGACACTTCTCAGAAACAAATTTATCGTAAGGATTTGATACAATCATTGAAAGATCAGTGTCCAGACAAGTTATTTGAAATCGATCAATATGCTAATTATTTAGATATTTAACTATTCTCCTATTGTCTACCCAAATACAATAGATGGAATCCGGCGGTAAATTAACAAAGATATTAATACGACATTGATGCAATCTCTATCAGTACATTTTCCTTATTAATATCTCCCTGACAATATCCCCTTATTAAATTAGATACTTCACTACTATTCTATCTCCCATGAAGACATTAAAACAGAAGATCGTACGTCGGAATAAAAGAAATCATAGAGCAGTTAAAAAGACTCGTGTTAACCGCGCCGCGTCTACTTTACGTTGGCTCCAGCGACAAGCCCTTGACAAATCCCTCTTTACGGACGAAAGAACAGTCCCCGATACAAAGATCGAACCCTCAATTGACAAACTATTTAATTCTTTTGATTTTAACAACGACATTTTCGAATCATCATTATTCACAGAACTGTGCGATTTAGTATCGGAAATAGAGGAGGAAATCTCTCAGGATCTAATAAAATTCCTAGAAGAACAGTGTCCAGATATCTCATTTAAAATCAATCAATATGCTAGTTATTTAAATTTTTGAATCATTCTCAAATGTTATCAGAATTAATTATTAAAGAAAATCGGAAATTAATTAACGAAGAAATTCATACGATAATAAGTATAATTATCGCCCTACTAACAGACGTATTAAAGGGAAACATCGATTTAGACCATTTTCTCGTCTGCTTAGATAACATTCCCTGATCCATTGCACACGATAAACGTGAGACTTCACGGGAACCGATAGCTCACGTAATTCAAATAATTGTTTAATAATAGGACCCTATGAGGGATTCTCAAGACCTTAGATTCGAGAGTTATATAATATTTTCGTTATTGAATTTATTAATTAACTATTTAAACGGGGAAATTACGGTCGATCAATTGATAAATTCATTAGATAGTTTAGAAAGAATCGCTAGTAGAAATCCTTTTTTCACCAGTAACTAGAATTTCCCATCCCCAAGATCGCAACACTCGGTTCCTAGTTCCACAGTATAGTTCGTGCTCGGCGTCCCTGAGGTACAGCCGGTGTAAGCAGATTGCCTCATAAAAAAT